CAACTCCCAGAATTCCCCAGCCAGCGAATGCTGGCTGGGGAATTCTGGGAGTTGAAGTCCGGACATCTTCAAGTTGCCAAGGTTGAGAAACAATGACCTAGATAGTGACGTACTTCTAAAGCTCCCGCTTCCATGCCAGGCTCAAGAGAGCTCCATTCCCCACTCCTCCCTGTCTGCGTCGGAAGCAAGGCATAGAACACAGCTGGTCCCTGACTTACAACCGCAAGAGAGCCCAACGTTGTCCATTTTTGTCTCCTTTTGCAACCTTTCTTGCCACGGTCGTTAAGTGAATCACTGCAGCTGTTAATAAGACGGTGTTGAAGTGAATCCAGCTCCCCCACTGACTTTGCTTGTCAGAAGGTCGCAAAAGGGGATCACGTGAACTCCTTACAGATCCTCACACTTACAACCGTTGAACCATCCCCCCCCACACACACACACAATCACGCGATTAAAATTCGGGCAATTGGCAACCAAGATTTGCTATTTGCGATCTGCCCCCCCAGCCAGTTACTCACAAGTCAAAGAGGGGGGGATTCGAATTCGGTTAACGACCGCGTGACTCAGTCAAGAACTGCGCCGATTCACTTAACAACCATGGCCCCAAAAAAGGCATCATAAAAATCGGGTGAGATTTTATTTTCTCCTGCTCGGCCAGGGGGTTGGGCTAGAAGACCTCCAAGGTCCCTTCCAACTCTTGTGATTCGGAGATTCGCTTCACAACCGCTCTGGCCAGCAAAGGGAAATCCTCCTCCCGATTGCCGTCATAAGTCTGAGGACTACTTGTAGAATTGGATTTGGGGCCTCTCTTGAAGTACAGAGTTCGGTCGATTGCCCTGGGGGGGGGGGCTGAAAGAAATTGGAAAGGGCAGAAACTTTTAAGGCCCTTCTGCATCGGAAAAACAAGTTGCATTTTGCAACCACATATCTTTGATATCAGCGAAGGATGAAGGTATTTAAGGGAGGATCATTTTACTGGATCCGTCCGGCAGTTCCGAAACCATCTCACCCACTTGCGGCTGGGCACCAGCCAAGCCGTAATTCCTGGGAGCAGCCCCGGCGTAGCTTATCTTGATAAACGACCCTCTGCTCCCATCTCTCATTAATCCAGGGGTTGTATATTAATTACGGTAATTAAATGGGGCTGCTGGGTGATGAATGGCCGAAAGCCACAAAGCTCTTCCCCTAATTACATCACAAAAGTGCCAGGGTTCTTGGGTGGGAGGGGGTGGGAGAGGGGGAAACGCAGGCAGGTGGCAAAGGAGAGCGAAGAGACAGAGTAACAGAAGGAGAGAGTTGGAAGGGGCCTTGGAGGTCTTCCAGTCCCCCCCCCTGCTCAAGCAGGAGACCTTATATGGTTCCGGAGAAATGGCTGTCCAGTCTCTTCTTGAAAACCTCCAGGGTTGGATCATGCACAAGCTCCGGAGACAGGGTGGAATTAAGAAGAAATTTCCTGACAATTGAGATTAATTGTTCTATAAATCTCAATTGTCAGGAAGTTTCTTCTTAATTCCAGGTAGGATCTCCCTCTGAGGACCTTTTTTTAACTTCCTTCCTCCCTCCCTCCATTTTTCCTTCCTTCCTTCCTCCCTCCCTCCCTTCTCCTCTCCTTCCTTTCCTTTCTTCCTCCCTTCTCCTCTTTGTCTCTTTCTCA